CACAGAGGGGAAAGAAAAAGCCATTGTGGTGGTCCGAGGAAATAAGTGATCTTAGGAAATCAAGCAGAAACTTGTTTAACAAGGCCAAGAGAAGTAATCTTAACACTGACTGGGACATCTACAAAGTCAGTCTAAAAATATATAAAAATGAAATAAAAAGAGCCAAAACACGCTCCTGGAAAGCCTTCTGTGAAAGCGTGGAGGGTTGTCAAGGAACAGCAAGGTTTAGGCGCATTCTATCGAAGAAACCCTCTAATCTAGTCTACTTAAAAGACGAGGTCAATGGGTGGACACATAGCAGCGAAGAATCGGCGGCATTGTTACTGAATATACATTTCCCAGATAGTGACATACCAAATAACCTTGGAATAAACCAGGGGTCTACATGTGACTCATCTGTGGTGAATAATATTGTCACCAGAAGGAAAATTAAATGGGCTATAGATAGCTTTCTACCATATAAATCACCGGGCCTGGATGGAATTATACCAGCCCAACTTCATGAAGCAAGGGACATCTCTTGCAATTGGCTCACACCAATCTTTAAAGGTTGTCTTTCCTTAGGGCATATACCAGAGAAATGGAAATTGACAAAGGTCGTTTTTATTCCTAAAGCTGGCAGAAGCTCCCATATTACGCCTAAAGATTTTAGACCGATTAGTCTATCCTCTTTCCTCTTAAAAACTTTAGAAAGGCTTTTGGAGCATTTCATTAGGAAAGAGATACCAGATGAAAGGCTTTCAAAATCACAACATGCGTACTGTAAAGGAAGGTCTGTAGAGACCGCATTATCATCTCTAACTGGGATGATTGAGAACTCAATACAGCATAAAGAATACGCCCTTTGCGCCTTTCTTGATGTGGAAGGGGCTTTCAACAACATCCTTCCTCAAGTAATCGTCAACTCATTAAGAAAACTAGGAATTGACAATAGAGTAATCGAAGTCATTACCCAACTGCTGGTTGATAGGACAATCGTAGCGCAATGGGGGGGAACGCTAGTAACTAAGAAAGTTAATAGGGGGACTCCACAAGGAGGAGTACTTTCCCCCCTCTTATGGCTAACTGCAGTTAATGATCTTCTTGTTGATCTAGATAGCGTAGGTTGTCAGGTGGTCGCGTACGCGGATGATCTTTCCTTGATTGCAAGGGGAAAATTTCTGAGTACAATTAGTGAGGTAATGCAGGGTAATCTAAATAAAGTATCCCAATGGGCCCATTGTAGCGGATTATCAATAAATCCAACCAAAACAGAACTAGTGCTCTTTTCTAGGAAATATAAAATTCCGGAATTCACACTACCTATCCTAGGAGGTCAAACTCTAACTCTGAATGATAAAGCCAAATATTTAGGTCTTATAATTGACAGAAAACTGAATTGGGGACCAAATGTTGTTGCACGTACCCAAAAAGCTATGGTTGCCTTTTACTGTTGTAGAGGCGCTATAGGCAAAAGATGGGGGCTCTCACCGAATTCCATTTTATGGATATATAATGTGGTGGTAAAACCAATTCTCTTGTATGGAGTGTTATTTTGGAGAAATACTCTGAATAGGTCAACACTATGCAAGAAATTGGAAAAGGTTCAAAGGACTGCACTGATGACATTAAGCGGAGCGTTAAAATCAACGCCGTCACTTGCCCTGAATGTTATCTTCAATATCTTACCTATCGACATCGCGGCGAAAGGCGAGGTAGCTGGGGCAGCTTTACGTATAAGAGAACTAGGAATTGGAAGCAGTTGTGGATGGATGCAAGATTCCATCCTCAGAGAAATTGATTTCATTCCGGATATAACAGACTACTGTACTACAATTACAATTGTGGACAGAAATCTTGAATTATTTATTCCTTCTAGGGAGACATGGAAAAACTACTCTGTAAAGAGTGATAATCGCCTTAACTTCTTTACAGACGGCTCAAAGTTAGATGGACAAGTAGGAGGAGGAGTATACTGCCCTGAACTAGATCTCAGTATGAGTTTCAGGCTACCGGATCACTGCAGCGTTTTTCAAGCTGAAGTATCTGCTATATTGGAAGTTTCAGATTGGCTGAAACACAATGCCTCCTCCGTTAAATTTATAAACATATTTACTGACAGCCAAGGCAGCTATAAAATCCTTAAACTCGTCGACCTTCAACTCGAGGTTAGTACTGAATTGTCTTACATCACTTATGGTGATGGCTGAATATTTTCGGATACGAATTATTTGGGTCCCTGGACATAGGGACATCCAAGGCAACTGTATAGCAGATGAATTAGCAAGACATGGTACGACAGCACAAATTCTTCTGGAAAAAAAAAGTGTGGGTATACCAGTTGCTTCTTGTCGGCACCGAATAAAATTATGGACATACCAAATGTTTGAAAGAAGATGGTCAACAGTAACCAACTGCATAAAAACCAAGGAATTTTGGCCAAAAATAAGTAAGAAAAGATCGGGGGAATTAATCAATCTATCCCGAGCAAATTTATCCAGGATAGTGGGAATTATTACGGGACACTGCCCGTTGGGAGGATATGCCGTGAGACTCAACATCAGGACCTCCTTACATTGTAGACATTGCATGGAGGATGATGAAGAGGAATCACCAACACACCTTCTGCTACAGTGTCCTGCCTTCGCAAGACATAGACTATCCTACTTAGGGTCGCACTTTTTCTATTCATTAAGAGAGCTAGATTCTATTTCCATAGCTCGTGTCAATGGCTTTGTAGCCAATACCAAGTGGTTATAGGGACAGGTGTCAAATTTTTAGGGTATCACAATGGACCTCATGGTCTAAGTGTGTCTTCGGACGGCCCCAGTAACCTAACCTAACCTAACCTAATAAATTTTAAAAAACCACCACTAGTTAAAAAATGAAATCAGTAAACGCTTATGAGTAATAAAAAAAATATATAGAAAAGAGAGAAAAATAAATAAATTTAAGTTTAACAATAAGTACTATAGCAAAAAATAGAAAAGATTAATTTACAAGTAATAAGTATCTATTCTATATAAGTATAAGTAAGAGTACAATAGAAATCAAAGCGCTCACAATAAGTAGTACTGTAATAAAACAAATAGGTTTTTAAAAAATATTTTACAATTAACCTTTAAAAATTAAAATTAGTTTCGAATGTGTTATTATAAAAGCAACAAACATTATACATATACAATCTGAATATATATATAAATACGTAAATCAAATTTGCATTTATAAAAACGTAATTTATTAATTAGTTTTCTACTTTTTTGTTATCTATTATTAAATTAATATGAGTTTAAATATTACATGCGTTTGTGTTGGTGTGGCATATATGCATTTACAGTGTTCTTATTGTTATACTAAACATTAAATATATAAGCTTTAGAAGTTAATACATATTTACATAATTGGTGACGTTTGCATACAACAGAAAAAGGTGCATATTAATTTTGTATTTTGTTAGAAATTATTACAAACAATTAATTATTTAATATATACAAAATACGTTTAGCCTTATAAAATATTATATATGATTGCGTTGTTACTCACCTCTCTTACTTCCTGCGGTGCTTGCTGCTGTCTAGTTTCTTGTTCCATTTTATTATATGTTAAATCACAATTCTCGTTATATTGATCGAACTCATTTTGACTACTTGAAATACTTAAATTATCCAATTGACCGCATAATTTTGGCCATTCTGGATTATTTTTAGCTAAATTTTCAACTTGTTGCCACAGTTCATCACGTTGTGACCGTTTTTCGTGCTCCCTGCAAATAAGTCAATCAAGCATTTATATTTACGAGTTCATATATGTATATAACTTTTTAAATGGCATATTTAATGTTTAAGCGCCATCATTTACTACTAACATTTGTTTATCCTGCCTATAGTTTTTACTGCATTCATCAAACAATCGCTGATTCATTTCCATAAATAACTTTAAAGCATTATAAATCAGTCCGTGTATTGTTTTATTCCAATGTGTTTTGGAATTGTGATTTAGCGCCGGAAACATTATTGGTAATATAACCTGTGAGTTGTCCGCAATTAATGACATAATATATTCATTATTCCAATAGTAGAGCGCTCTTTCAGCAACTTGAAAATGTGGTGAAGAGACACACTTTGCAATCTGTCCAAATAGCGGCACCATAACTTTTTGAAATTCAGCAGGTTCAATAACATCAAGTAACTCTTCCAATTCATTTAAAAACATTACTTCCTTGGGACTATGGGTTTTTGGCCAAAATTTCAGCAGGCTCCTGTAAGTAAAATATATTTGTTATTGTAAACATTTTAATAGAAGATTTTGATTAATAGTTAATGCTTACTTTATAACTGGCTCTGATAGACTTGGATCTTTCTCCAAGAATTGCACCACACAATATGTCAACTGGGGATGATACACTGATAAACTTTTTGCTTTATGCAGCGGTAAAAGTACTTTGAGTAAAAATTGTTTGTGCTCTTCTTTTAGAGGTAAAGCGAAGCCATTAATAATACTACCTAGAATTTCTAGAAGTTCAGCAATACCGTTATGATGTTCGGTTTCGTAAATAAATCTATTTAATATAAAAATTTAGAAATATTACATTCAATATTTTTAATATTGTTATTTATAAACAAGTTTACCTATAAAAAACATTATTTATTTGTTTTCTAATAAATGCCCTTAAGCCAAGAAATTTTCCGTAGATACGATGAAGAACAGTCTTTAAGAAGTCCCGTTCACGAGGATCTTCTGAATCAAAAAGATCTAGCAATTGCAAAACAAACTGATGATCAATAAATCGCTTAGCTATGTTTGGCTGAAAATCTGGCGACTCTAGGAAACGCAAAAATAATTCATAAACAAATTGTAGATGTGGCCATGATGACTCTAAAGTTGGTTCATCTTCTTCAGGATCAAATTCTGCGCCATTTGGATTTGATGATGGCGGTAATGTTCTAAATAAATTAACTGCGAACTGTAAAGAAAATAAACATTTTAAAGGAAATATTCAATAAAATACCAATAGAATGTGCCTACCATATTGATTGCTTCTGGATAAATTGCCTCTGTTATAACGCCATTTTGATTTGATAGATATTCTACCATTTCGTGCAATGCAGCTCTTTTTACTTCCTTCCATTTTAAGTCGCTCAATGGTTCGGAAAAATCGAAGAGTGTACAGCATTGTTTTAACTTTTGGATAAAAAGTTCTTCACGTTCATTCGCAGGTGTTTCTAATAAAGAGTTCATGATGTCAAAATTAATACATAAATAATAATTTTTATTTCGTTTAAGCGATATTATACATAATAATTATTTAAATATTGGATATCAATTTATAAATTCAAAACAATATATTTTAAAAAGTATATAGTAAATGAAAAATTTACAATTTCAAATTTCAAATTTTTAAGTTAAATTTTGTCATAGATTGTTAAATTAAATTCGTCTATTCGATTTATGTATGTTCTCTTCTTAAAGACCCTGGGACAGAAATTTCTAAAATTTACCATTTAGCATTTAATCCATTTTTAATGATTTTAATTTCGAAAAGTTTAACAATGGCAGACTATAGATAATCTTAGAGGAGCATGCTTTTCCGAAATTTTGGCAACATATCAATTTCTTGATTATACAAATAAATATAGTGAAAATACAAATAAAAACATTGATGCTGATTATAATCTTAATTAGACAATGTTTTGAGAATATGCAGCTACTATTACAGCAGCGTTCGTGAGGAAGGAATCATATTGATTTAAAAAGGCAGACACTGCAAGCATGTAAAATAATCAAACAAATAAATGTGCTTAATAATATTTTTAAAAATGCAGTCACTCTTAAGATATATTTCAAGCATTGGGTAAAGCAACAAGATGAGTTCTTATTACATCTAAATTAAATAATAGAATGATATACATTAACATAACACATAAGATAAATTTAACTAAAGAGGGTTAAATTTATAAAAATTAATTAATTAATTATAAAATGTTTTTAAATTTGATTTGAAATATTGTCCAAAAAAAAAAAACTCAACTATTTCAAACTATTCTGCAACTTTCCGTTCTAATTTTAGTCTTATTACTCCGTATTTAAAATATTAATCGTACTTACTCGGAAAGAACAAGTGGATCAGAAGTAAATGAAGTTTAAAATCTAATTCACTAGTTTCAAATTTACATAAGGCCGTTAGTTAATGAAACAAACGTTTATGTTGTTTGATATTAAGTTAAAAATGACTTAATTTTTATATTGAAAATGTTATTGAGCACAATAGCAGGGCTGGCCTTTTCTTCTGTAAGCATGTCGCAAAAGAACAACATAAAATAAGCACTACTTTTGATAGCAACTCTGGAAAAATCGGAAATTTTGTTTGGATTATATATGTAACACGTAATAAAATTTGAAGTTTAAATTTTGAAAATGAATAATAATTCTTTGCAATTATGGGATAATAATTATAATAATTTATTTTTTACATGATTGTATATAACGTTTGTATTTTTAGACTTTTTCAAGAATTGGGTATAATTTTTTAATTTCAATAAATTAAAAAGAATCGAGTATTATACGTCAAATATTTGTTGATAATAGACGAATTTTTAGTCTGCCAATCATGCGAGTTGAGCTGCTTATTAGTAAAGCAGTTTCAAAAATGTTGAACTGAATAAGTCAGCAGTGTTGTTGTTTCATAAGCTATTTAGTGGTTGTTTTTTTGTGATATGTTTACAAAAGAAAAGGCATGGTGTTATGTGCAATAAACACTTATGCTGCATTTCAGTTTGTTCTTTATGTTGTAATTGCACCTGTGGTATTAGAACAAGCCGGTATTTGTGCGTAAGTGGGTAGCACTCCAAATCTATCTCAGAGAGTTACTGACCAACTGTGACGACCAAGGGCCAGTCGCCACTCTCAACAGTGCCTAAATCGTAATAACCTAATCAACTATATAATCATTTTTAAAAAATCTATTTAAGCAAAGATTTATTTATTTACACAAAATTTATTTCAGCGCTAGATACTTAACGTACTAAGAAGAAGATCTTTATACTTTCATTTTAAAGATTTTTTTATACTCAATTTCGATATATTAAGTTAATGGACCTGATTGATTTCACCATATTATTAGTAGCCAAGTAATGAAAAAAGGTATACCAAACTAAAGTCCTGATTTTATTATTTTTGAAGAAATTAATCTAAAAATATTTTTAGGTGCATAAAAACTTACGACGCAAATGGGTGGAAGAGAATTGAGGTGTTGGTGGAAGAAGTCAAAATATAGAATGTATCACCATTTTGATGTTATTTTTCCGTTTCACTAAAAAATGTGCAGGATACCTTTGGCATTAAGTGCAATATTGTGCGAGCTATTAAGTAAATTGATATTGTGCACAAAGCAATAAAATATCTAGAAAAAAGTACTCAAAGAAAATAAAAATCAAATTAAATTGATATCAATATTTGCGGCCATTAAAACAATTTTAATTTGCTAAAGTAGTAGGGTATGCCCACTGGCGAGGGAACTATTTTAAAATTATATACTTATTATATATGTATGTGTGTAAATAATACTTAAGTATGTAATTTGTATAAGTCATCAAAACTGAAGGTCAATAAATATTGATTTGAGTATGTACTACTTATATTAATATTTAATCAGTAAATAATTTCTAATTTTTTTGAGATGAGGGAATTAATAGACAAGTAAATGAATAGTAAAAAATAATATCTCAAATTTAATTAAATAAAAAAAAAAAACAATCTAATATATAAAACTAAATCTTATGACATTTCCAAGTACAACTTATATAGGAGAGTAAATGTAAAAGTAAATAAAAAAAATTTATGTAACTAAATAGAGGGAAAACGTGAAGGATGGATTAACATGACCTTGTACTTGAAACAGAAAATCGAGCATACAAAATAGGAAAAAGCTGCCGAAAAATATTGTGGAAGGCTAAGGCGAAATGAAAAGCAAGTGAGTTGAATAATTTAATTGAAAAAAAAAAAAGAAAAAATGATGAGTCATCAGAAAGGGAACTACTAACTGCAGTGGCTAATAATAGAAGAAGGGTGCAATACAATACCAATCGATAGAAAAATATTTATATTAAGTTTTAGAAGCCATTCTATATATCACTCATTTAATTAACTAATATAATTATATATCTGATGTATATACGTATGTGTTGGAATTATAAATTTTATAAATTATACAAATATGTATTATGATGTTTATTCATCCTATTAGAGCGTCTAATTTTGAAATCTAAGAAGCTTAGTTCATAATTTCTTCGTTCTGGATGTAGTGGCCGAGTATTTTCAAAGTCATTTATGACAACTGAGGTAGGTAGAAGGGACAGTAACATAGGACAATTGTGGGAATATTTAAAGAATCTCGGTATATAACTGTCTGTATGTAATCTATATCTGAGATCCATCTGCTTAGAATATTTCAATGATAAATAAGAGGAATCGACAATTTGTTGGTATCTTTATAACAACTGACCATCTTTAAATTCTATACATTAACTTTAAACTTCTCAATTAAGATCTTATAGTGATTTCCCAACCAACTTATACGACTATACCAATAAACGACTATATGGTCTGAATGGATTCCAATTTTGAATAAAATGATCCTTCTAATCTAATCTAACATATAATAGTTGGTATTCCTTTGAAGATAACTCGAAAACAGATACAACTATATAAAATACATCCACATATTCGAGCTTCTATCCAAATATCTATACAATAAAACTGCCGATGATTGTTTGTATGTTTTTTATGGTATTCTTTACTTCTCTCGTATAATAATCATTTATTATAAATCATATTTCTAGAGGAGATTTTTTTTATAATTAATAATAATTCAATTATTTTCTCAAAATCTCATAATTGTAATTGTAAAATTTTTATATCTAAATGGGGATTCTTGTTGCAAGTTCATAGCATGTAATCTATGATTATTTTTGTTCTGGGAAAAAACGAAAAGAAGGTTGATTTACTGTGGTATTGTAAACTTTTTAATGAAATAGAGAAACAGATTGACTAAATTATAATCGTTAGTTTTTACAAAAAATATTTCTTGAGCAGTCATTATATAAAAGATAAGTTAAAAAGATCAACGTTCAAATGACTATACTCTGAAAATTAGAAATTGGTCATAACACGGGGTCTACTTAAAATAAGTTATAACTAACATCAATGTCAATAGTCTAGCTGAAAATTAGATGTTATCAAAAACAACTACTCTTTCCAAGAATTATATGCCTAAAATATTGATTTTATAAGTCAAAATGGATTGTGTGACGAAGGATGAATAATGGACAGTAAAGTAACCGTGTACATATCATTTCCTATATAAATATGTATATGTAAATACAATATATAAAGATTGGGTAAAATCAGTGAAAGAATATTGTCTTCAAACTGTTTTACCTTTCCTTGTATTAAAATTATTTGTTATATCGTTAAAGAATAATTACACCATATTTAAAATTCGACTATTGATAATACTATGGGCTCTATAGCAGTGGAATCTTTTTTAATAGTTTATTGTCACAAGGTTAGTCATCCCATGGATTATCTAAATAACCTCATCTGAAAACAGTTATGTTAGTTATATTTCTTTGTTAACACGGTGAATACAGAAAATAAATGTCAAAGTCAACCCCTTTTGGTTTTAAATAAAGTATTTGTAACAATAAAAATTGTTTTATAAAAACAAAGACGAAAAAAAAAATTATAAATCAATATAGTTAATAAATAATTTTATTAATATTTTATGCACGTGCCAATTTCGTTGTGTGCAAATTTCAGAGTGCAATTTTCAGAGATTTGATTTTGTTGCGGTTATAAGATTTAAAAAATATATATACATTTTTTCTAGCCATCGAGTAAATATGTAAAAAAAATAGAATTTTACAAGTTTTTAATGGCCTTTGCTATGTGCTAAAATTAAAAATGTAAACAATTGCGAAAAGTGCATAATATTATAGATACAAATGCAAACGTATCTGACTGAGAGCATAAAACTCCCGCTGTTCATCGTATGTGGGTTGGAAATTGAGTACAAATATCTTTTGCATATGTAAAATGTGCAATATATAATTAATGCCAAAACATAAATAAATGGGCACAACAAAAGGATTAAAAGAATTTCACCCTATTTCTTAAAAATTAAAAATAAATAATATACATATAATTTTTAATATTACGATCAAATTTCAAATAAACGCATTCGAAATAAAAATGATGGAGCATTAAAAAAAAAACAGAAATGAAAATAATGCTGGATGCAATACGACATACAAAAACAACAACAACAATTTACATTATGCGATTTAAGTGAATTAATTAATTTTCTTGTAAAACCTCTTAAAAGTGGTAATGAAACCGCAGCCGATGTTGTCGGTACATGATATAAATTACGATCGCGGGCACGCCCAGGACTTCCGGTGATTTGCTGTAATGTCTGCGGTGTTAGAATTCCAGTACCCCCGGCGATACCGATACCACCGTTACTGCCATTTATAGTGGCGGCATTGATTGTACCGTCAGTGCCATTTTGATATGTTAGATTTGTTGAATTATTTAGTTTTGTTGCAGCAGTTGTGGTTGGTACTCCATTGCCACAATTACCGCCTGTAGCACTACCAATGCCCAGTGATATGCTTATGTTGCCAACGATATTTTGTGCTACTGAATTGGAGCTTACGCCGATAGCATTACTAGTTAGTGCTGACATTGTTGCGGGTGTTTGTCCTTGATTGTTGACATTTCCGCCGCTGTTTATGTTGTAAACTGCATTGGCTGCTGTAGCTGCCGTGCTCCCAACACTTTTCGTGGCGTTTAAGATATTTTTTATGGCTGCAGCAGCACTCACTGGTGACTATATGTATTTCATAAAATTTTATTTATTTTTCAAAAGCCATTATACCACATAAAGCAATTATTGTGGTAATGTTGGCAATGGCAGTTGCCAATCAGTAGTCGTGGTTGATTGGTGGTGATTTGTGATGAGTGATTGATATTTCATGAGAGCAAAAAAATATATAGATGAGTGTATTTTCTTATATTTATTACAATTATAAACTATATAAAGAATTTTAACTCCATTTCGCGGTAAGTCTTAAACTTACGCGGTAAATTTGAAAAAGTAACGAGTGACAAATTAAATATTTATTAAGATTTAACGATTATAAATATATTATATCAATTTAAATGTTAGTTGATAGATATAAGGTGTAGATTGTGTCAAAAAGTCTTACATAAAAGACGACATCTGTATGTCGTTAAGCTAGAAATTTGGTTTATCTTATTTTCATGAAGAAATATTGAGTCTAAAGAATCTATATTTTCGTAGTTGTAATATTAATAAACTGATATTATTTACAATCTTTATAAAACCCTTTTTATACTCGTATCCTATAAGCGACGGAAAATAATAATTCTAAAGTACACGTTTGACTGTTAGTACTAGAGAGACCTGTACATTAAAACATCTCTGTTTAAAAACATTTTACAGAGTTTTAAAAATTATATAAATAATTAATATTACTTGGGCCTAAAATACAATTTGGTATTATAAAAAGATTTTCTAATACATGAAAGACTTATACGTATTATAAACTATATAGCTTGGTTTCAATATGCTAAATGTAGTCGTAAGGAGTCAAAATAGCGACATACTTAAATAAATGTTGTTTAAATTAGATTATGCTTACAAAAAAAAACTGTAAAAAAACTATATGTATAAACTATATGTTGTTGATCAAATATTCTAATTAAATCGTATCTCTTTTGTTTTATAGAACCAAATAGAGAAATCAAGCTTCAAGCCCTAACATCGATATTTTTTTTTTTTTGAGTTAAAATTCTTTTAATAAAAATATATCTGCATATGCATATTTAATCGAATAGAAATTAAAACGAACTCAAAAATGGATTTTCAAAACTATTTTACAACTACAGTGATAAGTTATTGTCAATCAAACCTTATTGTTAGCACTTATTGATGAGGAAGCGGCTGTTGAAAGTAATGAAGTTGCTGATGTTGCGGCTGAAAAATGTTGTGCTAATGTGGAGACAATCGATGAGTTTGTAGTCGCATTAGTAGAAGTGGTGACGTTAATGCAATTGGTAACTGTATTAGAAGCCAATGCAATCTGTTTATATGTTGATGTTGAAGACGGTGCCGATGATGATGTTGATGATAAATTATTTGTTACTATTATCGCAGAAGTTGATGTAGAAGCAGAATTAGTTCCATTCCCAGAGGTAGATACAGAACCTATATTGCTGCCTATATTAGTACGATTACCATCGATTTTAAATTGTGATTGCTGCTGCTGCTGCTGTTGTTGTTGTTGATGCAATGGTGGCATTTTGTTGTGATCACCAATTGAAAATTTAGCTTTAAGTATTTCAATATTTGTAAATTTAAATTTTAGACTATTTGTATTAAATGTTGTTGATGTTATTGGTGGTGTACTTTTACTTAACACTTGACAGGAGGTTTCACTTTTGTTTTGACTTTTTATCTCTGTTGGTTTTTTATTGGATGTCACGTTTGCAACAGAGCTGATGTCGTCGTTGTGATCTTCGTAGTTTTTGCCGTCACTGTCACCGTCACCGTAACCGTCACCGTCGTCGTCTGCCAATAAGTCAAGACCACTATGAAATGATGGCGACTTTGGTATACCTAAACCATAGTAGCCTGTTATTGGCGACGGATGTGCTGACGTGGTATTATTAACAAATTTATTTGTTACGTTTTCGCTATTAGATAAATGATTATTTATTGAATTATCATCGATTAGTTTAATACGATGAACACTATTTTGCTTATGTGGGGTATTATTTAACACATCAGGTGTGTTCGCATTGAGTTGATTTGGTAAGTGATTTTGTTGGTCTAATTGCTGTTGTTGTTGTTGCTGCTGTTGTTGGTGCTCTTGTTGCTGTTTGAAACCACCGGGGATATTGCCCGTATATAACATAGCACTGAATACCATTTCATTAACAGCATACGAATTTTAATTAAATTTAATCGCATCGCATTAAGACAATAACTTTTGAATTCCAATTAATAGCGAGTACAAATAAATTATATGTTTTTCTCTTTTATATATAACACATATAAAGTAAATTTCTTCTAAACTTATTTATAATAATATAATCTCAAACCGCTTATTTATTTTTAAGCATAAATCTTTTTATTCTGTTTTAGCTTCAGCATTTGTGATATGACAGGTTCTTTTTCAAACACATTTTTATATTAAATTATTAATATTAATAATTAAACACTAAAGTTCATTTATTTACGCAATTATTACACTTTTCAAATTTTCTATATCTCATGAAATGTTTATTAATGTTTATTAATGTACGAACAAAGGGAAATATATCTTAAGCATAAAAAGCATCTGTAATGGAATTTTTTAAAATTTGTGTTTAAATGCATTAATATAAATAGTTTAGTATGATGAAACTAGCAACTAAAATTGTAATTAGTGAATGAATTTTACTTATTTAAAATAAAACGAAATAAAAACAAAACAAAATTTATCAACAAAAGTAACAGAATTTTTTTAAAAAAAAGCTAATAAAAAGTGTTTATTTTTATTTTTCATACGCAAGTTTGCATGTGATATGAACAATGAACAAGTGAAGTATGCCGCCGAATGATTTTCAAGTCAAGTTCATGGCCGAAAAGGTGAAGTCTATGTCTATGTGAGGTCTACAAATGTTTTATAAAAAAAAAAACTCTTGCATACAGAAAAATTTTTATGTAAAATAACTATAAAAACAGTGAAAAAAACAGTTTTATTTGGTGATGGTGAAAACTGCTAGTCGAAACATAATTGAGACTGATGTATGCGAACATACTGTTTCATATATATATAATAGACTACTTCACACATTTTTTACCGTTATAAAATTTCAATTAACTGATAAATATTTTATAATTTTTTTTAAACACTTCTTTGTCCATAAAATTCGAATTCGAATTCGAAATCGCCATATAATACAAACCAATTATCCACGCAAACTGATAAAATCATATACAGAATATCAAAACTAGAATATCAGACATAGAGTTATATTAAGAATCTCTTCTACCAAAAACATTAAAAATTATTTGATTACAACTGAAAATATTCCTTAGTGACTGCAATGTAATATCGCTAAATAGAGTGATAAGCACCAGCAAAGTGTACATAAAATCGGTAGCAATATATATGGTATGAAAGAATACTTTATAGCCCGGCAATTTGAATTATCTAAATTGCAATTTAACTCAGAATAAATTTTGAAGATCTACAGCGTAATGTCAGTTAGTATTGATTGGAAAAATACTAGTTACAAGAATGAATAATTTTTTCCAAAAGTGGGAATTGATTCCGATAACATTATACATATATATATCTCAGATATATTTCACGGCGACTCGAAAATATCTACGAGGGCGGTTTGATAAGTCAGTGACTCTTTGAATTTCCCGCACAGCACTGTTCCAAATGTAACAGTGCTGCCGTCAGCTGTAATCTACCAGTGGGCAAGTTTCTAGTTTGATAGCCGCTCAAAGCAGACAACCTCGTGAATTTTTATGAAAATAGAAAAAAGTTAATTTCGTGTGCTGATTAAGCATTACTGGCCAAAATCAACGAATTGGGATACGAACTGCTACCTCATCCAGCACATTCTCCAGATTTAGCCCCCTGCGACTATTTTCTGTTTCCAAACCTAAAGAAATGGCTGAGGGGTAAGAGATTTGAGTCGAATGAAGAAGTCAATACCGAAACAAACGCGTATTTTGAGAGCTTTGAGAAAACATATTATTTGGAGGGAATTAAAAAATTAGAAAAAAGCTGGACTAAATGCATCGAGCTAAAAGGTGATTATGTAGAAAAATAAAATGTTTATTAGCCGAAAAAAATTTGTTATCAAGCCGCCCTAGTATGTTACGATTTTTTCGGAATTTTTAATTTAATATTTCACTCTCCGTAAAAAGAATAAAAATCCCTTCGTTGTTTTTTATTTAAATAAAAATTTGATTCAAAATTGCCAAAACTTTTTTCACAAAATATATCAAATACATCAAAAAAAAAATACGTATCCTATAGAATTGGAATCAGGTATTAGTAAAATTATGATGTCTAAAAATAAACGTTTATGCTATTCTTTAGATTTTCCTAGTTGAGTTCTCACAAATTAAGCGTAGATTTTAATTCAATTAATATTTATTTATTTAACGAATTAATTGCTCATTTAATATTTTTAGTAGTTTTATATTTTAATTATAAATATATATAATTTTGATAAAATAAACAAAATTTTCTTAGTTATATGGGATTACTATAGTAGTTAACTACATCTGTCAGAAGCTCTTTTCCACAATTCTATTTTTTGTCATCTGTGTTATAATTAGCTTGTTCTCCTAATTATTCGCCTAATTCCCTAATTAGGACCCTAATTTTTTTTGTTTTCTTTGCCAAAATTTCATAACGTGAATTTTACTGCAATTTTATAAATGTATATGGCTTGGAAAGTGACATTTATATTTAAATCTTTGTAGCAATGTCTCCCGTCACCCCCCGAATTTATGACAACATTATAGTCGAATGGTTTAAATCTATTTAACTCCTTCCATGTAATTCTATTAATTTTTGAGTGCATTTAATTTAAGATATATAAAATCTGTAATTAAAAAATAATGTTGATGAATACATATACCCTTAAAATATCTCTACCTTAATAGTAGGATTAATAGTATTGGATGTTTAATTTAGTTTACAATGTTTTTGTTACAATTCGCAATAGTAATGCGTCGTTTTAAGAAAAATAATTATTTCTTTTATAGAATATAATATGAGGGCCTATGATCCACTAGGAGAGAACGACAGCAGTTAGTAAATAAGTAAATAAGAGTAAAAAAAAGTATTTGTGAATGATATAAAATATGGTCGCATTGGTTGTAACTACGGTTAAGATTGCTCATACCTCTGAGCATTTAACAAGTGAATAAAATGTTTAAAAAATAAAAGAAGTGATTATAAATTATCACTGATTTAACATTGAAGAAATTGCTGGTAATGTTTGCAATTGATATCATGTATTTTATTATTATTTTAAATATACTACAAAATTGTTGGAATTTTAGTAAATGAAAATTGTTCAAATGTTCTTAGATAAAATTAACAAAAATGCACAACTCATTCAAATGAAAGTAAACTAACCCAAACCAAGTCCTAATTTTGGAGAATGCCAGATCTGCAAATATTTTAAATCTACCCCTTGCCAATGATAGACAATGACACATGAGATAGAGTACAGTTTTCTTCTCATCCGCATATCCACAACCCCGACAAAAGTCATTATATGGTAGACCAGTCACTTAGTACTAGTACGCAGTGACCCATCAGAATCCATACGGTAGTGCTGAGCAGTTTACTTACGCCTTAGTCGACGCAGCCGAATGGTGCGTTTCTTGCCCACTTTGGATTAGAACGATCTTGCGATCTGCCAAAAGAGTTCATTTGCCCAAGTTTGCTTAACTATAATATTTTTACAACGATATGGTGGTCTATATTTTGTTGTCATGTTATCACACAATTAAATAATCAGTGGGTAGCAATACTACTACTATGAGTGACACATTTGCGTTAAAGACACGCATAAATTTATAAATAAATAATACAAGGGGTTTGAATTACGAGTTAACAATTTATATATTTTTGACTATAACAAAAAATGTCGAGCTATTAGCATAACTTTGGTATCTGATAAATATGATTCTACTTGAGCTCCTTACTTTCAAAACGAAAATGAGGTTTCGGTTCCAATCTGTCAAGCAGCAATCGGTTGAAAAAATCTAAAATCTATCTCCAACACTGAATTTCAAAAGTTGTTCGTGTGTGGAGGTCACTTTACCGGTAATAACATGACAATTTCTTTTCTAAAGTACTGATATGTATAATTGGATAATAGTTTTTAACATACGTATAAAATATAGTTAATCTTAAAGACAAATACACAAAAATAAATAGACAAAACTTTTTAAATAACTTTAAGAGTGTAAACACTATTAATTTAATAATAACTAATAGTAGATATTATCTTTATTTTCTTTTCGTAACCTTCCGTCGTCACCGCTTTTCTTTGTATTCCACTGTAATGCACAACTCAGCGGGAAAATTTATTACAGAGCTCATAGCATTTTATGAAAAGTAAACTACTTGCACTCGTACATAGCATAGTCTGGCATAGCACAAACAACAAGTTAAACACTTGGGACGTTCTTTATATTATGAAAGAAGAGGGCGAATGTCATTTTTTTATAAAAGTTTTTAATTAAATTATAAGTAATATTCGTTGTTATATGTTCACGTTTTCGATTGCCATTGCAACTGTTGCTTGGTACCAAAAGCACATTGAGCGAGAGCATGAGCACTTAAGTCTAACGAAGCGGAGTAGCGGAACTTATAAAGTTATTTATGGTTCATTGCTCTAAATGGGTAATGAGCTATTGATAACGATTATGTAAATATTGAATAAACAAACAGCAACTTTGATAAAAGGATTAAAGGATGTTAATAAAGTACTAATCAATGGACCTATAAGTATTTTGTATAAACGTATTTATAAATATTCTGTTAAATTTATAGGTCAGTTAATTTAAAAATAATAAACAGAAATATTTTAGCATATTTTTTTTCAAATTAAGTGTACATTTGACATATTCTTTTCTTTTAAATCTTTATAAATTTAGACAAAAATCCTTCTTTTAGAAACGTGTCCCTAAGGGGGTTACAACAATTGCAATACACTTAATGAAATATTTTTTGTTATAGAGATTATGATTTTTTATTATTAGTTTTTAATTTTTTTTAATTATTATGATTCATTTTTTTTTTGAATACAGATTTTCTCTTCATTTTTTTATGGTAGAAAATATATAAATATCACTTAATACTTAATGAAAATATTATTTTTCCTTGTGTTTTTACAAAATACAGTAAGACCCCGCTTAACGCTGTTTTGTTTAACG